AGCACATCTGCCACAGTAGGATATACCATTTCCCTAAAGAAAATCAGTATTTCTCTTGTGCAACTGGCTCTTCGATGGCATGCATATTATATATAAAGCATTCGCGCACAAACAGCTCATTCTGCCCTGGTTATTTTCCCTGTCATAGCGTGAGTATTTTTAGCCCTCATGTGATCCTCCAGTATTTTCCAGCTCTGCTTTAGTCATCCTGCTCTCACTGGGTATTTCAAACTACATCTAACAGCCTTCAGATCTAAGAGCCTTTCGCATTTTTAGCTTACATGTAAATAATTAATTTTGTTAAGCTGTCTTTTACCCATGTATTTTTGACACCCCACACCCATACACAAAACAGTGCTCCGTGGAGATTTGCTCTGACACACAGGGATATACTTACGTAAGGCAGTAAGCTAAAACCCTGACAACCTGATCACCATTTTCAATTTGATCAGATGAAGCTGCTTCTGCTATTTTCCACGGGGAGCATTAGAACTGACACAAACAACAGCGCCCTAATATTTTAATCCCTTACCATAATTTTGACTCTACGGCTGTTGGCTGTTTACCACTGCATTAGGGGAGAGCGGAGGCTGTAGGAGATGGAGAGGCGGCTCAGGGCTGGCAGATGGCCTTATATCCAAAAGCAGCTGTGGTGCTGCTGGCAGAGAGCCTGCAGCGGTGGTCTGCGCTGCTGGCTCTGCTCCTCGAAGGATGAAAACATACCCGCTCCCCCAGCAGGGACCTGCCTCTACCTGGCAAATCCTTGCGGCTCCTACTGTTTCTAGGAGAAGCCTTTTACGTGTGCTACCAAAGCCACCCACCCCTCCGCACAGCCTTCAGCTCGGCAACAAATCGGCTCTGCCTCTCAGGGAAGGGACGAGGGGAGGCGAGGGTGGCACAGCAGATTAGTCGTAGGGACCTATTTAGGCTTCCATTTCCGAGCTACATTATCCTTGACCTGTGCTGACTCCTCAGTCGGATTGCCTTTGGGAGGGGTAGGGCCACGACTGTTGGGCTGCCCCCCGATTAACACAGAACCGGGTGCATTTTCAGATTTCTTACATTTTGGTTTGTTTTAAAAGCATTTTGAAAAATGCTTTAAGTAAAGACCATGCTCGGGGTTTGCAGACATATAGGTAAATACCCATGTATACGTACAGAAAGCAGCTACCCGATACCATGGGTCTTGTCAAGCTTTAGTGTCAGATTAAAACACCAAAAATAATTCTAGCTCATGGCAGCTACCTTTCTGGGTAAGCTTTCAGAGCAGGCTTTAGGGATTTGACCCCTTTCTTGTTAACGGAAAGACACATCTTAGTCTACCTCTGAAAATACAGAGTTAGAACAGGGTGTTATAAAGTAGTTAAAGAAATCAGCACCTCCTAAATCACTCAATAACAAAACTCTGGCACAGGGCCCTGGAAGAGTTATTCCGTGGAACAACAGGAATCATCTGAAACACATATGAAATTACTAGTAGCTAAATAAATTATTCCTTTAAAAATGTATATATTTGATCAATTTAGAACAGCCATATTTAAAGGTCTGTCAAAACCAAAATTACAGTGTGAATGAGTACCTATATACCTACTTGCTCCTGACACTAAATAGTAACTGCATACGTTTACATACTTCCACTGCACACTGTTTAAAAACCTCTGGATTATGCTGAAAGATCTTCTGGGTTCTTTATTTTCACTCACTATTGCTTCTTTTTCTTTCATTAAGGAACTGAAACAAGACAGTACTAAAATTTCAAAGCGTCAGTGCTACTGTAGAGCAAATCACACAAATTAAAAAGTGACATTAAAAAAAAAGTACCAAAAAGAGTCAAACTACTGTGGCAAACTGCTACCGATGCTGGCAAATGCTTGCTGCATTGGTGTAAGAGGTTGCTGCATCAAGCAACCCACTATGTTTTAAAGGTTGGACTCTATGATCTCAAAGGTCTTTTCCAACCAAAGTGATTCTGTGATTCTGTTTTCTGCTCCCACAACAAAGTCAGTGGAAGTAGTCATGTCCAAAACCTCAGCCATTTCACTGAGGACCCAAGAACGTAGAATAACACAGTAATCAACATAAAACTTCTAGACAGCAGTTTAAACTATGCCACCTGATGTTGCACTTACTTGTGGGCATGTATTCCCTCTTTGTGCTTCTATCACCAAGGAAGACGAAACTCCAGATGGGGCGGGGAATTCTTAACCAGCCGCAGGAGAACTTACAAGACCTTATCTTTTTTGCCTTTTTAGTATAAATGGCTAAGCTTGTTTTACTCACATGGGCACATTATGGTTCCTAGAACAACTGTAATGAATTACGCCTTCATTTCCAGCTGAATGTGCATGAGCATGCACAGACACACACACACAACAGAGGTACAGAAGCACATCTTTCATGGTAATTTCCCAGCTATCCAGGACTTGCTTTCACATCATCCCAATTTACTCCCAAACAGCAGGAGATGAGACACACACAAGCTTGCAGATGCATACAGCACTCCTCCCAGAGTGTCCTCCAACAACAGGCACCCAATTAGGGCTCCCATCCTTTCCAGCAACCAGGCTACATGATGTGGTGAGGTGAGGTGCAAAGGCACAATACATCAGTGAAATGAAAACGTGCTCACCCAGAAATTGAATAAGCCTAAGAATGACTGACACCTAAATGAAATAATCCTGTTCTAAAACGCAGGCAGCAATACAAGCTACAACTCTCATTTCACCTAGCATCATGTAATGTCTACACCGCCCCTCCCCAGCTCAACAAAAATTAAACTAGTGTCCTGCCTGTCACACTTCTGGACAATATTTAAGCTAATAATGAAGGAAGCTTTCCATGAAAACGCTAACTTCCACAGCCACAGAATCCTACCAAAGATCATTACATTATAACTCAGTTGTCCTATTCCATACCAGGGCTGAGGAGGCACAGGACACGTGCTTCATACAACCAGCAACACAACACAAGATCACTGCATTATCCTCCATATCCGCTGGCTGGTTCCACTCCAGTAGCTATTCTATTTCTCTAGGATTGTCACCTCCACAACTGTAATCTGGATGACACATTTGTGACTTTGGTAGAAACAGACCATCTGCAAGAAGAATTAACAAGCATGGTAAAGTCTGTATTTAATAAAAGTGTCTTTTCCAATTTCTCAATTGGATAACACCATGATATTAGCACTTCGGGCTTTTTTTTTTTGTTTTCAAAGGGAGTGCAAGACATCACATGGGAAATTATAGCATACCAGGCCCTGAAATTCAAAAGTTTAGACACAAGATGGTGCAAAACAAAGATATAAACAAGCTTCAAAAGCACAGAGCAGCACTGGCCTGCTATTAGGTGCTCAGTTTCCTGGAAGCCCTAATGAGCTGAAGGCAGCTGGCCAAGTATGCCCCACTTTGACGTCAGAAGTGATCAGAGCAGAAAGCTGAAATCTGTGTATGATTCCAGAGTATAAGCCAGCCTAAAACAGAGGGTGCCTCGTACCTGCCTTCTCCCTTTGCCAGCACTGGTGCGTATCTGAGCCCATCAGAAGACAGGTCACAGAATTAAGCCAACTGAAAAATTTATCATTATTTGAGGACTGGGTTAGCAGGAATAAAGTAAACCCAGGACAGAACAATAAAGGAATTAAATGTGTGTGCATGTGTGTTTCTGTATGCACAAACCTATATATGTACAGGCAACCAACCCCAGTTACACTCATTTAGTGAATTTTTTTTTTAAACGTTAGCTGCTCTCCTGTCCACTTAACTCCCAGTTATCAGAAAATGGCATGCCCATATTACATAAACACCAAAGATCAAGCTTGGTCCTTCGGCCTGTTCCAAAACCAGTCATAGCCAGTAGGCAGCTGAGCCCCACACAGCCGCTCACTCACTCCTCCCCCTCAGCAGGATGGGGGAGAGAATCAGAAGGGCAAGAGTGGGTTGAGATAAAGATAGTTTAATAGGCAAAGCAAAAGCCACACACACAAGCAAGGCAAGATAAGGAATTCATTCACCACTTCCCATGGGCAGGCAGGTGTTCAGCCACCCCCAGGAAAGCAGGGCTCCATCACACGTAGTGGTTACTTGGGAAGACAAGCACCATAACTCTGAACATCCCCCCCTTTTCTCCTTTTTCCCCCTAGTTTTATTGCTGAGCATGACATCATATTACGTGGGATAGCCCTTTGGTCAGTTTGGGTCAGCTGTCCCAGCTGTGTCCCCTCCCAACCTCTTGGCACTTTTCCAGCCTACTCACTAGCAAGGCAGTCTGAGAAACAAGAAAGGCCTTGATGCTGTGCAAGCAATATTCAGCAATAACTAAAACATCCCTGTGTTAACAACACTGTTTTAATTACAAATCCAAAACAGCACCATACTATCTCCTATGAAGAAAATTAACTCTATCCTAGCAAAACCCAGTATAAACGCAAAATAAAATTTAGAAGACAGAGATATCTTTGAGAAAGAGCAATAGTTGTATGTTGCTCACTTAAGAGGACTAGCGTACCTGAACAATATGCACATATAAATCCATAAATCAATGAATTTTTTCCTGCTTGTCAGCCCTTAAGATTTGGAAGCATTTCACTCACCATCAAAATTAATAAAAATGAAATCAGCCTGTGCTGGCAATTTTCTGTAAGGGTGGAGGTGTGAGAGAGAAACACGCTTCATTGAATGTTCTCGAATACACCTACACACACCACATTCATTAACAAGAAGGTTAAGTGCCTTTGTCTCCACCATCAGACATCACGAGAATCCACATCATTTACAGCAAGGGTTCAGTGGGGGAGACACTATGCCCGATAGAGCAGGGCCAAACTAGAGCACACCACAAGAAGTTAACTTCTGCAGTCTCAGATGCTAAGCCTATGACAAGGCATAAAGAATGGCCCACCCATATGATGACATAATTTTTAACTAGTATTTACATAACATGGATCACAGTTTATAATAGTCTTCAGAGACAGAAATGGAATTCTTGAAGATGCAAAATACCTGCAGTCGGAGAGTTTGCATGGTGAGACTTTTTGGGCAGATTGAAGATTTGTTCACCAGGATCTGGTGGGGGAAGAGCATCTTGGCCTTGTCGGGCTTCCACAGGATCATACTCCTTCCCATCATAGTTAGCATCAAAGAACTTCTTAAACCATTGAATGAAATCTAAGTTGTCCTGGAAGCGCCCTTTGACCAGTTTTTCCACAGGAATTACCTGAAAGGTAGAATAAAGGTTCCAATAATATATCACTGCAGTTTTTAAATAAAAAATTACATATGCACACTTACTCGAAAAAAAATCTACTAATTATACCAGCAAATACTCCTCTGCAATTGTTTTCTCCTAAAAGGAAGGAAATTACGGTAGATTTGAAAGTGTTCTTAATAAGAAATAGAAGGAAGACCCAGCCTTTGAAGTGGCTATACAGTGGCTGTATGTAAGCCTTTATAACTGCTCTTCCACAGAGTTACTCCTTTCTCACTGTAGTGACAGCCATGATGAAGCAAGCTGTTCTGGGAGTAACACTATATTCAATTAACTAGGGATTTCTGCTTTTAATGGACATGCTACAGTTGGGCATACTTCAATTCTTCAGAAGGTCCAGACCAGAATTTCTTGCTCTCTGTCCTACTGTTTGAACTACAAAAAACCCAGCAGCTGAAGTTCAAACCAAGCTACATACATGTTCATCATTTGAACTAACCCTGAGGTTTTAGCCTTGTAATTTTTTTCCATTCCATAAATAGCTATATACAGAATAGTTCATGGACATGCAGAAGTTGACTAAAATGCCTATAAAGGTTCAGTAAAAAAGAAAGGCTATGAGGATGTCTCCATACCCATATCCTGCAAAATATTTCACAGAAATGGAGCCTCCAAGAGGTGCCTTGGGCCAGTATTAGTGTAAGGAGGTGGTTCAGCATTGCTCTGCAGGAGGCTCAACCTTCCCAGATGCTGTGAGCAGACAGGGACCACTGCGGGGCTGCCGAGCCTTGCTTAATTCATGCAGCTGATTCAAGAGCCAAGTTAAATGGATCTTAATGCCTCCTGAATGCATTTATCTCCTTCTATGAGCAGGTGACCCACCTATGGATGAGGGAAAGGCTGTGGATGGTATCTACCTGGACTTCAGTAATGCCTTTGACAACTTTTCCCACAGCATTCTCCTAGAGAAGCTGGCAGCTCATGGCTTGGACAGGCATACTCTTTGCTGAGTAAAAAACTGGCTGGATGGCCAGGCCCAAAGAGTTGTGATGAATGGAGTTAAATCCAGTTGGCAGCCAGTCACAGGTGGTGTTCCCCAGGGCTCAGTACTAGTGCCAGTCTTTTTTAGTATCTTTATCAATGATCTGGATGAGGGGATTGAGTGAACCCTCAGTAAGTTTGCAGATGACACCAAATTGGGCATGAATGTGGGTTCAATTTTGGGCCCCTCACTACAGAAGAGACATGGCATTGCTGGAGCATGTCCAGAGGAGAGCCACAAAGCTGGTGAGGGGTCTGGAGCACAAGTCTTATCAGGAGCAGCTGAGGGAACAGGGATGGTTTAGCCTGGAGAAAAGGAGGCTGAGGGGAGACCGTATCACCCTCTACAACTGCCTGAAAGGAGGGTGTAGTGAGGTGGGTGTTGGGTCTCTTCTCGCAGGTAATGGGCATCAGGACAAGAGGAAATGACCTCAAGCTGTGCCAGGGGAGGTTCTAGATTGGATATTAGGAAAAATGTCTTCACTGAAAGGGTTGTCAAGCACTGGAACAGGCTGCCCAGGGAAGTGGTCGAGTCCCAGTCCCTGGAGGTATTTAAAAGACAGGTAGCTGAGGTGCTTAGGGACATGGTTTAGTGGTGGGATGGCAGTGTTAGGTTAATGGTTGGACTTGATGATTTTAAAGGTCTTTTCCAACCTAACGATTCTATGATTGTAACTTTCAGATGAAAAAAGGGTATATTAAACCATTGCAATTTTCATATCTTGTTCAAAGTTAAGCCAACTGTGCATAATTTTTAAGTCTATGATACTCCTACAAGGATTAATGTAGCATTTTGCATGTCCTTTCAGGCTGTTCCTTTTGTACCTTAATTCTGCACAGAGAAAATACAGCAAGTTTGCTCCCTACAGAAAATTTGACAATGTTAACTTTATTAGGCTTTCTAGTATTTCACTAACATTTTACACTATAAATAGAAGCATCCACAACATTTCAGGAAATAATGAGGGTTTTCCACTGCTTTAAAAAAAAACTCTTACAGGACTCTCTATTAAAACTGTTTACATTTCAGAACAAGGCAACACTAAAAGCCAGAGCAGAACCTTAAAATGATATACAGATAGTACAGCTGTGTAAAACTAAAGTATGACAACATAACTGTCATTATTCATTTTTATCAACACAGCAGTTTATATTGGTGAGCCCAACAAACTCACACATTCAAGCATAAACCAGTACCTTATGTCTGAACAAGCCTTTTCCTAAGAGCCCTCCAGTTCTTAACTTTACAAGATCATATGTGCTGGCCAACCTATTAAATATTTGGATAAATTATTCCAGCTCTTGAATACTTTAAATTCCTTAAACCCCATTTTGGACAAGAAAGATGAAATACTTATAAGAACAGCATATTTCTGAGTTATTTGGTTGGAAATTCAGGTCACCAGTAATTTTACTCTGTATCTAAAATTAAGGTTCACTGATGGTAAGGAATTTCCAACAGACGGTATTTTATCAAAAAGGTCTCTGATATTAAGATTTAATGAGTTAGGCTGCACAATTCCTCAGTGGACACACAGACTCAATTTTCACTTTGTACCTAAATGGAGCTTGCCAAATGTCTTCCTTCATGCCTAAATACCCTTTCCAGATAATGAAAGGTCAAGAAGAAAGTCTTCACATACAACTCATTCTCAGTCCAAGAGCTCAAAAAGTGGACTTTAAGTATTTTGAAGTTTATTTCCCCTATTTATTGACTTCACCCAGTTTATACAACTTTTGAAACTAGTAGCAATTGAAATACAAATACAGAATGCCTACCTTATCCACATTCATTCTTTTAAATGATGCTTGCAGAAGTTTGAAGTTGTGAATGTATTCATGCTCCAGCTTTGCTTGAAACTTTACTTTCTTCAAGCTAATGCACCCTGGGAACAACATGTCCATGAACTGGCAGTAAGCTGCTCCTATAACAAGAGAATGCATTGACGTTAATCCAGATGCACACAGCTAAGACCAAATGGCGTTTAATGTCATTATCAGAAAGCATGAGCAGAAAGCAACCGTGCTGAGTAAGTCCCTGCTGTAATTCAACCTAACACTATGCACCCAAGATCTACTTGTCTAATGTACATTGAACAGTGTGACATATTAATGTGGGTTTTTTCCATTCAGTCTGCATGCACTAATGCACTGTTGTATAGCATCTGACGAGCCACCACAACTAATGCAAAGTAAATCTTTCTTCTGCTTAAACCTGATGTTCTTGGACTCCCTATACACAGCAGGACTGTCCATACAGTGGGAAGATCACAGTCAAAATGGAAACCTCTTAATAAGCTCCCTCTATCCTCACAGCCCCCTGAACCAACCCAACCCAGCCAAGATCATCTTTCTTCTGGCACTTATGGGCAAATGCCAATCAAGTCCAAGGCAACCATTTAAGATTATATCAAACCACAATTTAAAAAAAAATAAATTGTAAAGCTCCGGCTTGTTAAAACATACTAGTCAGTTCCCACTCCTCTAAAACAAACGTTTTTACTGATTTTCCTCTCCTGAGAAAAGCATTTCAATGAGCAGACTTTAGCGTAGTCCGCCCATAGATTTCAGAAGCTGGGCCGCCAGCTTTAGTTCTCACTCAAAAGAATAAGGTTTCTAAGCTCAGCTTTGACGGCTATCTGAACTTATGTATTAGTAGACAGGCATGTACATGCCTCTGTGTGTGTGTGTAACTGATTCGGCACAGGGCTGCGAGTATGTGGAAAAATTTAGATCTAACCAGTGTACTGAGTACAGCTAACAGGGACAGCCTTTTCTTGTGTGCAGGGAGCTTCCTCCTACAACATCATCACATCCCTGTCATTTGCAAAGTAAGTCTTTACTGTTGACACAGTCAAGTGTTTGGAAATGAAGTCTGAAAATGTTTGAGGAAATCAGAGGAAAAACGGATTTCAGTTCTTCTTCAGAAAAGAGTTTTCTACAAAATGTTCTACACTCAGCAAAGATTCAGTGAAGTTCTTTTCTGGAGCAGAGGGCTGGGAAGCGATTGCCCGGTTACTCCTGACAAGTTCAATTTCACTTCCACAAAAAGGACTTTTGTGCATTTTGTGCAGATCAGTTTTGACAAACAAGCATCCAGATCTCGCCTAACAGTTCAGCTCAGTATCAACAACAATGATTTTTATCAAAAAATAATTCTGCTGAGTGCTCGTACAGAATCCAAATTAACAAAGCAGACACCTGGCTTGCCCAGTTTTACAGGAGTGGCAACTATAACTTAAACTTTAAGACATTTTTCTCCATGGGCATGCATGTGTTTTGACAGGACCAACTTTATGCATGAGATAATTCTCATTCTCTGTATCCACTGAACCATCGTATGAAGGGTTACAGAGCTCATAATTTCCCCAAAAGGGAAGCAGAGTTTAAGATTGGAGTCCAAAAAAAAGTTTCCCAAAATACTGATGAGTTTTGCTAAGGGACTTAACAAAAATTAAGCTTTAGTGCTGAAAACCACTGCCATTTAAAAAAAAAAAAAAAATTCTCTTCTCATTACCTAGCTTTGTGGGGGCAAACTGTTATAAAAAAAAATCTGATTTTCCAAGGACACCTTGTGCTTAGCTGTTTGCAATGGTTTTGATATGATTAGGAATCAAAGTAAAATATTCCCTAAAGGAAAAGGAGCCTTCTGGCAAGTTACAAACATCAGATGACAAATTTGCATCTTCGTATAGAAAGCTATATCAACACAATTAGTTATTCAAAACTCATCCTTAGCGAGAGAACTGGTAAATATGTGGCAACAGAAAAATGACATTACAATCAAAAGAATGACTATACAGATAATGCATGGCTTGACATTTATTACTATTTAATTTCATGCAAAAAGATTATTATGAAATCATTTCATGTTATAAATTGAATTTGTTCCCAACTCTGTCCTTTCATCCTCCCCATATCCCAATTATAAGCTTTACTCTGATATCTAAGTAATTGCCTGGAGGCCTTGAAAATGCACTGCGCAACCTTTCATCTAGATCCTTTTAGAAAACTAGAAACCCAAAGTGTTCACACGAGATTTTCTCCTTCTGCTGGTAATGCAAATTCCTTCTGCATGCCTGTAGATAGAGTCTTGCTAGGTTTAAGACTCTAGTTACAGCATTTCCTTGTGTTCCCTTCCCATCAGGTTGGCAGCCGTTTCTGTGCTTTTGCCAGCCAGGAGGTGGTCCTGGGTCTGCGCGACACCCGAGGGCAGAAAACACTGGACCGCATCCACATGGCAGCACGAACCTGGTCTCTGACACAACACCGAAGCCGGCTGCCCGGCCGTTTCCCCAACAGGAGGATTTTATTGCATTGGCAAACACAATTCATTAAAATGCTCCTTCCTGAAGTAGAGGCAACATACAAACATGGACTGAACTAAACATTGTAAACTACAAAGAGAGAAAACTCTTCTCACCTCCCAAAAGGCAGAGACCTGCCTACCACAGCAACACGAAAAAGTAAAAATATCATTAGAGTCAACTGCGACTACCTGATTTTGGACATCGAGGTTATGCACATATTTAATATTATATAGGTATTTATTCATAATTTAAAATTTTATCCTGTAAAGCTTGTAGCTGTCACATTGCATTCGAATGCTAAATGTCGGTGCAGCAGAATGGGGACGCTACTTTCTACGTTGCCCATCGCCAAGATTTCTTGGAGGCAGCAGAAGGAGCAGCCCTACTCAAGTCATGCAAGATCGCAATGCCTTTACCACACAGCCACGGCGTATAGACACGTGGTCCTCTGCATACCAGACAGTGCTTCAGGCCTATGCCATTTACCATACAACTGATGCCTCAACGCAGGTGTATGGGAAAGGAGCATTTTTAACAGAACATAAAGAAAGTGGCAGTAGAGATAGTGACATCATGGCTTGTGACATACCTCTTGCATAATTAACATGAACAAAAGGATTTTTATGCCATTATATTTTATTCAAGATCCTTACATTTTCTGCAAAAAAACCCTGAATACCAACACTCTCCCGCCCCTCCCGCCAAAACCTAACCTATCTATACACAGGAGTTGAAAACATACTACTTGTCCAGAATGGCTCTCACAGTAAATCTGTCTCTATGACCAAAAAACGTGTACGTGCATGAAAACGTGCACATACCCACACAAAGAGAAATAATTTGAAATCTACTCAAATGAAAGATGAAAACTATAGCTGGTAGCACTGCAGAAGAGGGATCAATGTTAAAAACCTCTGATCCTGTGTTAGCTAGCGAGCAATTTAGAATCACTGGCTAAAAGTCCTTTTGCGTTTTGATCTGGAATATTGATGCAGCCATTAGTTACAGAAGCTGTTCACAGGCTGGACTGCAAAACCAACTCTCCAACGCTGCTGTCCTGGATTACACCCCCAGCAGCCGCTACTTTTAGCCTGACTCGCCAGTGGAAAGCGCCCAGCAGCATTACAGATTTTGCAGGGGTTTGCTGGGCTTCCCACAGCAGGCTGAGGGCAGGGCAGCCAGCCAAGGCCAGCCGGGGACTGCACCCACGGGGCTGGGCAGGCAGGCGGCTGCTGGAGGAGGGGAAGGGATGCTGGGGCAGAATTCAGGAACAAAAGAAAAAAAACAAGAATTAAAGAGGTGGTTGTTTAAAGCGATTACAGCTGGAGAGTTTTGCCATATGCAGTGGGAAAGCTAGAAGCTTCTACTCAATGTATAAAAACATACACATTTTCACAGTGTTTTCAGAGGTGTAGATAACCTTTCGTGAGTCGCCCTTGCAGTAAACATTGCTGAAAACAAAGTCGTTTTAGCTTTGGTCCTATACTTTTCTTTTCCCGCTTCTGCGTTTCCTTCCCAGACTGTCCATACTGACTTGCAGTTTTGCTCTGAAGCATATGCACTCTGCATCATTACAGATTTTCAGTGGTCCTCCCTTCTCCTCTTCCATCCGGAGGCTAATGAACCCAAAAACGCAAACAGGTATTTTCTTGACAATCAAAGGTACTTCTGCTTCTGACTATTTAAAGCACAAGGAACTTAAAGGAGATAACAATACAAACAAGAGAATCCTGTTTTCCTGAAAGTTTTTACTGCTTGGCAAACCTCCTCGATTTCAGCTGGAGAGCAAGATTGTATCCTTGGTATTTTGGGCATTTGTGTTTATATGTTTACAAAGAAAAATGAAAATATTATTTGCAAACTAGCTTCTTTAAATATACTGTATTTAGTATTTAGTATACTAACAAAGTATTTAATAGAAATACTATAATATAATCTCAGGTATGCCCATGTTACTATTTGTCCCCTATAAGAGGAGTCAGGTCAATCTTTCACATCAAATGTCAGAAGACTCTGTCCCTCCCTGTCCATCCCTGCAGTGTGTGGCGGCAAGATCCCAGAAAAATCAAATAAAACCACACCAGCCAACATGGGAACACAAAGGGCCCATGAAAAGACAGGGCCTGTCTGTGTGTTGAGTTGGTTTATTTTAATTCTGATGTCCAAACCACAGCAAAAGGAGCTAAGTGCTACACTAGAAATTTGCTATAAATGCTTAGAATTTTGTTCTAAAATGGCATGCGATTCAAGTTTAAACCTTTTAACCAGGCCTCAGACTGATTTTCACACACTGATTTCTGAAAAATCCCATTCGGTAGAAAGGCTGACTGCACCTTTTTCTGTCATTTAGACTTTTTTGTTTTGTTTGTTTGCTCTAAGGAAATATTTTTCAGATAATCTAAAAACATATATCCAGTCACATTAGATACAAACTCCTTCAAATTATTAATTCCCTCCAAAGCTGCACAACCTGACCATGCATTTGGAAAATACAGGATTATTCGTATGCGTATTAGTCACCAGCACTTCGGTTCACTAGAGCGATGGTTGCCAACACTGAGGGGAAAGTACCACACACCTGGTATTTCATAGAATCACAGAATCATAGAATCGTT